CCCAGCGCGGTGCTCTGAGCACCGGGTAGCCCTCATTAACCACGGGCCCTGTGCGCGGTGCACCGCATCCCTACCCTGCCCCGTGCCCTCCCTGCCCTGTGCGTGCTGCTCTAGGGCACCTCATCCCTTCCCTGTCCCTGGTGCTCCTGGACACTCCATCCCCGTCCTGTCCCTGGTGCTCCTGGCCATCTCATCCCCTCCCTGCTCCTGTGCCCTGCACATGAGGGCATTCCCATCACCCCCGGCTCTGTGCCCAGGAAACAGCACCAGCAATGCCCAGGGCGCTCTAATCACTCCTGTGCCTCCCATGTCCCTGCATGCTGGGGTTCCCCATCCTCTCCGTGCCCCAGGACTCACACTGCCGGTCCCACTGCTGTGCCATGCTCCGTGCCAGCCCCAGGGATAGTGCCTGGGTGGATGCTGGCCCCTGAACGTGTATTTTGAGGGGCGCTGTGCTCTTTGACACAGCCCGGGCAGTGCCTGTTGTGTGGGTGCACAGGTTGTGCTCAAATACATCTCACTTTAGTGTGGGGACAGTGTTACAGCCAGGTGCCATCTGAGGAGGACGTGCCACGCTGTGGCAATGTGACACTGGGCCAGGGGTCAGCCTCTTTGGAGAGAAACTATTTCAGAGTCATTTCCTGATTTCCTAAATTGGATTACAGATGTATTTTCCTTTACACGGGGAGACACCACTGCCTGGAAGGAGTGGCATTGGGATTGTCACCTGTGCTTTTGAATATCACTTGTGACCAAAGCAGCAGAGAGGGGAGCAGAGAATAAATATTTTCCCTCTATTTCGTTAGGTTAGTTGGTGCATTTGCCAGCATCCTGTGTAGAATCAGGTCTCTATTCCTCTCTGCAATCAGCTCCTCATTGTGTTAGTTTCCCTGCAGCATTCAGGACAGCAAAGCTTTTTAGCAAATTGAAAAAGAGAGGGTTTTTTTTTTAAGCCCACAGCAATTGGCAGCTTTTAGTGCCTGAGCTTGTTTGTTTTGTCTTGTTGATTGGATTACAAGTCGATGGTGACTTGACATTCTTAGAGCAGCCTGGTCTCAGGGTGCTGCAGGACACAGGTGCATCTTCACCTGTCACTAAAGCACCTGGTCCTCCTGTCAGAAAAAAAGACTTTATCACGAGAGCAAATTAGCACCTGGGCAATATGGACAGTCTTATCTCCAGCTGAGAGAAATTTGACAGGGAAGACAAAAAGCACAGATCAGTAGTCCTGTGCTTTTATCTTGGCTTCCCCAAATCACCCTGTTTTTGTCAGGCTCTGGGCATCTCAGCTCCAGCTGCTGCCAGGAGAGAGGGAGCTGGGTTTTTAAAGTTCCATGACTGAAGAGCATCCTGCAGACTGGTGCTGGCTGGAGGCAGGGCAGGATCAATCCAGAGCTTTCTCCTGGAGTCTGTGGATGGCTGTGACGGGCATTCATGTAAGCAAGTAACTGCCAGCTTGTCTTCATGGGTTGCTAGCCATGTCCTCAGGGGTTTCCTTCTGGGAAGTGTGTGCAGTTACTCTGTGATGTGCAGGTGCTCTGAATTGCCAAATATTTCTGTTCTTCTGGGCCATTTTGCTCCATCAAGAAGCTGAGTGCAACACTGATGATGTTGCTGCATCATTGTGTTCAGGTCCTGGCCTCTTCTCAAGCTTCTTCCTCCTAGTGGGATGAAGGCAATTGTTTGGCTTTTTTCCTTGGAAGATCTGATTATGTGCCAGGAGGAAATCCAGTTGTCCAGTGCCAGGCATATCAAGAGTGGCACTGTTTGTGTAATTGTAATTATCCCCATACTATACTTCACCTGAATTTTTCATCCTTCTTTTCCTTCTAGCTTAATTTTGCTGGAGAGGTGCTGCTCCGTGCCACTGTTTGCTTTGGCTGTGCCATCAGAAGCCTGCAGTGCTCCCTTTGCAGCTCCAGATGTTCTTCATGCAGGAGGAGCTGTATTTTAGAGCAGGGCTTTGCCTGGAGCAAGGAGACTCTCCCAGCACTGTTCCAGCGGTGTTCAGCCAGCAGGGCTGAGCTGCAGGGCTGGCTCCAGCTCTCCCTGCAATCCAAGGCTTGTAGAACTGGACCTGCAGCTTTGCTGTGCCTCTGTCATCTGTGTGAAAGGCTTCTCATAGGCACGGTGGGAATTTGATGGGAATGTGTGATGTAGTGCTCCCAGCAGCTGCTTGTGCCCTTGGAGGATGGTGCTCTGCTCTCTCCCGGGGACACAAGCAGGGTTTGCAGCATCTTCTCAGTGCAAGGATGAACAAGGTGTTCACAGATTCTTAATCTGACATACTTCACAGTGGAAATGCAGAAGACAGGATTATTTAGGGTATCTTTAAAAGGCTGTAGATTAAATGGCTGTAGATTATACTCCTCATCAAGAAGGTAACATTCCAGTTGTTCAGGAGACATTTTATGAGGAGCCTAGAGTAGTAGATGCTCCTGCTGTGCTGATCCCTTATGCTGTGCCCTGCTATGGTGCACTGTCTTTCCTGCTGCTGTCTGCTGAGCAACCTCTCCTCATCCCAGCACAGTCCTCACCTCACTACTTAGGATTGATCAGACCAATTGATTTTCCTTTCCTGTGGCACATAATTCTGAGTTCAGAGCTTTGCTGTTTTGTTTGCAAAGATCTGGAAGTGAAAAACCACCTAAGAACTCCCCAGCTTTTTTTCCTCCCCTAATCCGAAAGATAAAGCATACAGCCTTGCTGTGCCATTTACTTCCTTTGTGAGTTCTGTGTCATAAAAGAGTGATAGGAAGTAGTGATGCATAAAAATCACCCTTTTTTGCTCTTTTTATTTCAAAATCAGATTGTCTTTTGCATCATTCAGTTTTTAAAAAGAAAGAGTGTCATGCTTAATCCACAGTCCCGTGCTATTGGCCAGGTTGTCTCCCTAAATAAGCAATCCCAATCTTTTGCATTTGGAATATTTGAAAACATTTTAGCTGTAGTGAAGAATGTTTCTGCCAAACCAAATGAGCTGATTATAACAACAAATTTGACTGGTTGTGTATGCCCTGTGTCTGATCAGAGCTGGGAATGCTGGCCTTGAGAACAGGGAGACATTAGTGACACTGCTGCTGGGAGAGCTGCTGCACACAAGGCTTTTGTCTGAGCTCGGTGTCTGTGCTGCATCCCTGGGCAGTTCCACCCAGGCTTCTCCCCTGGGACATCCCCACACTCCTTGTGACATTCTCAGCTCTTTTCATACCCAGTGGTATAATAATCCTTCCTCTCTGCAGTAAGTACCTGGAACCAAACCCTCTTTTGGCTTTCCTTGCCCTTCTTCCCTTCTCTTTTTGCACCAAAGGAGTTCTGAAGACAGGTGGGAGTGTTGCTGTTGTGTGGTTGTGAGTAGAGGGTGAGAAGGTGAGAGTGGCTCAGGGAGGAGAGAGCAGCAGCTGGAGAATGGCTCAGGAGTGAGCTCCCAGTGCCCAAACATGCCCTGTCTGGCTGTGTTCAGTTTACCATCCATGCTTGTGTCTCCTTTCAGGGATGGATAATCAGACAGTGCTGGCTGTGCAGTCCTTACTGGATGGGCAAGGAGGTGTCACGGATCCGTCTGCTCCCAATGTCAACTCCTCGGCCGCCATCCAGCCCATGGGTGAGTCCTGGTGGCCCTGGGAGACAGGACAGGGGCAGGAGGGCTGCACATCTCCCCTACAGCATGCACAGCTGGCAGAACAGCTGGGTGTGTAGGGTGCTGCTATGAGTGTTGTGAGCTCTCAGCAGGACCAGACAGAGCAGGAGGAAGGGACAAGTGCCCACAAAGGGAGGGAACAGCCACTGTCCCTACCTCTAGTAGTGTTAGAGTTAACTGCCTGTTAGTGTTCATGTTTTTTATTTACTGTTCACTCCTCCTCTGGAGACGTTCAAGTGCTCCAGTCCTGGAGCATCTTGGTGTGAATGAATATGGGAGCTGGTGATTTATGTGCATGTGGACCCTCACAGCACTGGACTGGAACTTGCTGGGTGGATGGGGGGTTATGCCCCGAGGAGTTACAGTCCCCAAAAATGGTCACTTTCAGGCTGTGACTCAGACAGGGGAACAGCCTTGTGAGTCTGCCTGGATGGAGTGCAAAAGGTGTGTGGTTTGCTAACGCTTCAGATTTCAGCTGGGGCATGTAACTGTGTTGTCTTCTTACTGCTTCTAACATCAGGCATAGGTGCCAAAAAACAGCAGTGGTGTGGAGGGGTGGCTTTAGGACACCAGCTGACAGTGACTCTGTGCCCTTATCCAAGGTACTTCTTGTGCTTTGTGCAACCTAAGTAATAAAATATGCCTCAGCCAACATAATGCTGATGCTTTGGAAGGAGCTGCTTTCACTAAAAGCAGAGGGTGCTACAGGAGCAAGGTTGGTTGTTCCTGTATTTGGGATGAGAAGACAGACAGTGGGATCAGTGTGTCCCAGGGAGACAGTGGGGTTTGTGTATGGGAGCAGGGCTAAGCTGGGCTCAGTCCCGTCACTTTGCTTGAGGGAGAGCTTGGCCTTGGGGAGGAGGGACAGCTTGGCCCTTGCAGCTGCTCGCTCCTGGTGATGATGTCCTCGAGGTGCTGAGATCCAAAGGTGCCTGTTGCCCTACATCGTGGTTGCTGGGTGGAGCACTGGGGAATTCAGAAGGCCTGAAGCTCTGCTCTTCATTGCAGATGACGAAGATGTGTTCCTGTGTGGGAAGTGTAAGAAGCAGTTCAACTCCCTGCCTGCCTTCATGACCCACAAGAGAGAGCAGTGCCAGGGCAGCGCCCCATCCCTCTCCTCGGTATCTCTGGCCACCAACAGCGTGTACACCCCGTCCATCACCTCGGTGCAGCAGGCTCCCAGTGCTGGCCGGCAGGTACCGTGCTGCAGGCACAGCCTCTGCTGCTGGGATTTGGGGCTGATGGTTTTACATCCAGTGGTGACTCATGACTGAGCTCTTTTCTAGAAGGCTGAGATGTTGTCCCTTTGTTGGCTTTTCACCTTGTGGTTAAAGTGGAGCCCTCTGCAGTGAGGTGTCCTCCAGCAGGAGTGTCTGACAGCCTTTTTTCAGAAAGGCTGAAAAAAGCCAAAAGGTTTTGTGTTCTGTCTGTGCTGCAGCAAGACCTTGGCTCCACTGAGGAGCCCCAATGTAAGAGACAGACCACAAGCCTGGGTGCACTCTCACAGTGCTCAGGGGGCTGTGGCTCTTGCTGTCCCCTGGGCCTTGGTCTGGCTCGTGGGCAGAAGTGGAGCAGCTTCGTCCCTGCATCCCTCCTCTCTTTCTTGCAAATTAGCCCACGTAATGTGGTGTGATGGATGTTGGGAATATCCCCTCTGGAGCAACTCTTGTTCCCTAGAGAGTCCTCCAGTGTGAGTCCCTGGTGCATGACATGTAATGTGCCTGAAGTTGTGGTTTCCAAAGTACTTTCAAACCAACTGCTTTTTGCAAGTTAATGTTGTCCCAGTGGATGGTGCTTCTCCCCAGGACTGCAAACACAGGTTATTTACTGCCAAAAAATTCAACAGCCTCCCTCCCTTGTTATAACACAAGTTGAGTGTGAAGAGATGAGCCTGACATTCACCATCTAAGCCTGAGCAGCTTCCCTGAGTTTTCCACCTTCCCTTGCTGGGGCAAGCACCCAGGAGAGGCCTGAACTTGTCTATGACCAGTTTGTCCTGCAAATCTGGTTTAATAGCCCCTGATTTGAATTGCAGCCAATGGCCACTTTCTGAGCCACTGTGATATTTTTTTCATCCTTCCTGAAGAATGTTTGTGGAGCTAAGAACTCCCATGGACTCAGCAGAAAGCTGCAGACAATTACTGTGGCTCACTGCTGACTGGAGGCTGTGAAAGCAGAGACCCTGAGGCTCAGTAAAAGGCAGTGTCATTGTTTTTTTGGGTATTGATTTGTCCTGTTGCTGGTTAACATTGTATCTTTCTTTTGTTTCAGCAAATCTCTACCTACATCACGGTTCCCCCATCACCTTTGATTCAGACCCTGGTGCAGGGGAACATCTTGGTCAGTGATGAGGTGCTGATGTCAGCCATGTCTGCTTTTACCTCCTTGGACCAGCCCATGCCAGCAGTGCAGCCCCCAGTGCAGGTAAGGGGCACATGTGGATCCAGGGAATCACCCAATCCCAACCCCTTGGCCATGGAGTGACACCTTCCACTAGACCAGGGTGCTCCAAGCCCTGTCCAGCCTGGCCTTGAACACTTCCAGGGATACTGCCCACATTGCTGAAGATGCTTCCCAGGACATGTTTGGCTTTCAGGGCAGCAAGTGCCGGTGCTCCAAGCCCTGTCCAGCCTGGCCTTGAACACTTCCAGGGATACTGTCCACATTGCTGAAGATGCTTTCCAGGACATGTTTGGCTTTCAGGGCAGCAAGTGCCCACAGCTGGGTCATGTTGGCTTTATCTTGCACCAACACTCCCGAGTCCCTCCCCTCAGGGCTGCCCTCAATCCATTTACTGCCCAGCCTGTATCTGTGCTTGGGGTCACCCTGACCCAGGTGCAGCACTTTGTATTTGCATTCCCTGAGGTTCACACAGACACACATCTCAAGCCTATCCAGATCTCTCTGGATGCCCCATTCTTTCTCTCCAGTCTTTTGACTGCACCACACAGCTTGGTGTTGCTCACAAACTTGCTTGTTGCTGGATGCTCAGATCCTTGTAATGTGCTCTCTCCAGCTGTTTTCTGAGCCCCCATATAATGATTGGCTTCCAGGGCCCTTGTCAGCATACTCCATGGATTCCTCTCCTCCTGGGAGCATTGTCTGGGCTCTCCCCAAGCTGGCTGAGCTGTACACACTCTCCATGTTCTGAAAATATTCCTTGTAGCCAGAAGGATTGAAAACTTTAAAGACAAAGCAATAAAAGCAGTGGGGTTTGAGGGCTTGGGTTTTGGAGGAGGCAGTGTATACCCACAGGTCATGCCAGGCCTCCAGCACAGCCTGGTCCAGCCTGCCAGTTGGATGTGTTGTGTTGTGCCAAGACATCACCACTGTTCCTGCAGGCGAATTGGGATGGGGAATGTGTGTGAGGGAGCAGCCCCTCCAGCTCCTGGCTGCTGCATTTCACACGTGTCGTGTCTCTCTGGTTGCAGAGCAGCATGAGTATGCACGCTGGGGCTGGCTACCTGTCCCAGCCCCCGCCGCCACCGCCGCCCCC